GACGCAGCAAACCTTCAAGTTACCGACTGGTTGCTCTTCTCTCAATACCTTCAAAAATCATGGGGTCCCTGATATGCGATGGTTTAAACGACTATCTACTGTCCTTAAATTTCTTCGCACCCCGATAGCATGGTTTCAGGAAGGGTTACTCTTTTATAAGCAACCTGCTGACTGCAGTGGGCAGATGGACATGCATCCCCGATCGCAATGGGAAGGTTGATATCATCTAACTAGATTTCTTAAAAGCTTTTGATAAGGTTAACCATTTATGTCTTATCAATAAGCTCAAACGACTAGGTATCAGACCACCTCTAATCGATTGGCTTACTTCATACCTGAAAAATCGACAATTTAAGGTTAGGTTTAATTTCACTTTATCTCAGGCTATGGAATGTTCTAGTGGGGTCCCCCAGGGCTCAGTACGGTCTACATAAGTGATCTTCCTCAACAGGTAACGTCAGAATTATTACTGTTTGCCGATGATGTTAAGCTTTGGAGAGAGATACACAACCAAGAGGATATACAGGCACTTCATGAGGGTCCGAATCGACTTCCAAGTTGGACAGACGATAACAGACTTACCTTTAACACTTCAAAGTGTAAAGTAGTTCATCTGCGACATGTCGCAAACTATAGTTACAACTTAGGAAACCCCCTCTAGTAGTATCCCGAGTCAAAAAAGATTTAAGAGTCCTGGTCCTCAATGATTTAAAGTTCTACGCTAACTGTGACAAAAATGCCTTTCTATCAAACCTTGCACTGGTAACACTGAAGGGCATTTATGGCCAGTTTGACGGAAGAACTTTCCATATATTCTTCAATAGTTTTATCCGTCCCCATTTAGAGTACGGAAACATAGTATTTCCTCCCTCACTCCAAAAATATAAGGACACTCTGGAGCGTATCCAGCGACGAGCCATGAAATCGGTTCGGGGACTTAAATTTAAACCTTATGAAGAGCGCCTCCAATCACTCACCCTTTACCCATAAGAGTTTAGGCGTCTTAGAGGTGAACTTCTAATGGCTCACAGTATCCTCAACACTTCTGGACATCCCTTTAATCACCTACTTAAGCTTAGTCCCAATGCAAACCTAAGGGGTAACATCCAGAAACTGGAGACACAACTTAGCAGACTTCCCATGAGTCCTGTAAATAGGAAACTTGAACTATTCTTAACGAATAAGGACAACATCTTATTATGACTTACCACTTTCCTTTTTCCTCTTTTATCGTTAATATACCTAGATTCCTGCGTGGAAGTATTGATGATGCACTGCTACTAGACGTGGAAGCCTGTTAAGCGAAAGCTTCTTTTATTCCGTCCACAACCATTTGAACCATTTGAACGGACTTAAGTTAAGGTATCTTAGTTTGTCTTCATAAGATAGGCCAGATAGGCCTTTTACCATCTTGGTTCTCCGCCGTCGGACTCGTCAGTATACCCGCCTCATACTAGAAATTAGCACTCGCTGTTTGAATCCCATAATCCAAAAGTGGTCTCAGGAAGGTCGGGTATAATAATCTAATCATTTATTCATCCAAATACTGAAGACTTGCGAATAGACCTTAACACCATATGGCCATTTGCAGAAGCAGCAACCTTACAGTGACTGGTATTCTTGATATCGCTGCTTAGCATGGCTCCTGAATTTTTATAGTTTCTTATTTTGGGTAACACGAATTCACATATTGTGTAGTGATACGATTCATCATAATTATTTAATTACATCACTACGATCTTGTTAAGATTTACTTCCAGTGACCGTCTGTCCATCCATGCCACCAATGATTTGGGATCATATTGTAATACTATTTTATCTGACATAGTGTGTATGAGTCTCCAAATCTTTATGTCATCGGCGAAGATTAGAATGGACGACTTTGCTATAGTTGGTAATTCATCCGCATAAAGTAAAAAGAGAAAAGGACTGAGGAATTTACCTTGATGAACTCCACATTTTAAGGGTTCCCAAGCCAAGAGGGCTCCATTTATCCTTACCCTATGTTTACTGTCATGGAGAAAGTCACTTATCCAGTCTAAAGCTATATAATGGATTCCAAAACTTTCGGGTTTTAATTTAGAACTAGAATGGGAGACCTTATATGTTTTACTTAGATCTATAGAACTTAGATCTCCAGGAATATTTCGATCTTTTGCCGCGGCCTTGGCTTCTTTTGCAATGTCAAACATGATAGGCCCCTCCGAAAACCATGTTGTTCCCTGGATAGAAGATTACACCCTTCCATATAGTCTACAACGGTTATCCGAATAATTATCGCATGTTTCCAGTCTCTGGGCAGCTCGGACTACCGCAGAGACATATCAAACAGTATCGCTAAAGGTTCCGCATTTACATTTGGTAAGGCTTTCATAATCCCAGAACGAATAACATCAGGACCACTGGACTTTTCAGGTTTGAGATGCTGAAGTAGTCTTAAGGCAGTACCTTTCTGAATCGCGATGAATCGTTGGTCGTTCCTCATTACTGTTAGCAAACACTTTACTGAAATATTCTGATAAAGCTTAAGCTTTTTCGATATCATTTTCTGCCAAGATTAACGGGTTTTCTTGTATCAAAAGTGACAGAATTCCATCGCTTCTCTGAGTTCACCTTTTTAAACGCGAGAATAGCCGTTTCGGACTATATTTACAATCCCTAAACAATCGTTTTTCATGTGACCATTTATCCTTACTTATTAACGCTTTACAGGTACTCCTAATCTTACAATAACTGGATCTGTTCTAAGCCAGTGAAGATGAACATATTCCAGTGATTCTTCCTTCTTTTAAGAAGTTTCCTGACTGGTTCAACTGTCCATGGTGGAATGTTAGTTGGTCTACGCGTTACTAGGTATGGTATGAACGAGGACTCAACTAAACTAAACCTGCCTTTAAATAAAGACCACACTTCTTCAACTGATAAGCTAGTATCTACAGACCGATCTGTCTTAGTAGCGCAATACTAAATTGCCAATATGTTAGCTCTCCATACATTTGGGCGGAGTGTAACCTAATCGCATATCATATCTCTAGTTCCAAACGTGAATGACAAAACAGCGTGATCACTGTTCACTAACGGTGGAAGAGTATTTAGTTCGACGATATCCTCAGTCTCATGAGTGATTACCAAGTCTGACAGAGAAGAATCTTGATTTGCACCAAAACGTATGGGCTTGGATACATTCTGTATTAATGCATGCTCCATTATTGTTATCGGGAATTTACTATCAAAGGAGTTTATAGATCCTTCCGTGCACCAGCTTTCAAGAGCCACTAATAAGTTAGCGAGGCAGGAATAAACTATTCTGAAACCATGCTGCTTTTCCTGAAGGATCCGAATTTCATCGAGATACTTAAACAGCTCCTCCTGAATAATCTTTTCTAAGATTTTAACAACCACACTAGTTAGGCTGACGGGTCGGTAGTTCTCAGGTTTATGTTTCGTACTTGTTTTGAGGACAGGTCTTAATATGGTGTTCTTCCAGTCATTTGGTAAACGATCCTGGGTTACAGATAGATTAAAGCGTATACTCAAAGTGTTGACAACGAAGTTAGATAATTCCTTCAGTAGACTAGGATGCAATTCGTCGTGGATTCGCCTATGTCAAGCTTATTTGGCAAACCAAAAATATCGAGTTCTTAAGTGGCCAGGCTGTCTAGTGTGTGTAGGGGATTTGTATGAACTGAATGGAAAGGCGTTTCTATGGTATATACATTGCTAAAGTAGTTTCAGAATACTTGAGCTTTACCATAGTCGTTCTACACCAATGTTGAGGCAGTACTGTATCTCCATAACGCAGGAATATTTTCTCTTCTTTTAGTCCTTTGGTTTATATAGGAATACAAGCTTTCAGGATAGTCTATGGATTTCTTAACAATTCGCTCTCTGTAAAACCTTCTAGACTTACGGACGGTCGAGATACGGGTATTTTGAGCTTCTCGATACTCAGATTTTGTCTCATCAGTCCTCAGTAACCTGAATCTATCCCACATTTTTCTCCTAATATGGAGAAGGATGCGAGCCTTCCTTCTGAACCATGGTGGAGAGTTTTTCGGCCTCATTGACGTAATCGAATGGACGTGGGGTGCGGTAACTTTTAGGTATAAATTCCAAAATGAGTTCCAAGCCGTTTCAATTGAGGACTCTGGATCTATTGTCCAATCTACTGATTATGCTGAGGATATGATATATTGTATGTTTGCTTTCTAGACGTTAGGTCTGGACTGAGCTGACCCATGCTCGATTTCGGCAATTATATAGAAGTGGAAGGTTAAAACTGCATGATCACTTTTACCTAGCGGTGGCATGTAATCGAGGTTCGTAACATCACCCTAATAATGAATCAATATAAGATCTAGTAAGGATGATTCAGAGTCCGGATCATACCTAGTAGCTTCTTTCACATTTTGGACTAGGGCACATGTGATAACTGCATCAACTAGTTCATGCTCGAAGGAATTATCTGACAATTCAGTTTCGTCATTAAGTGTGATTGAATTGATGTTCTCCGTGTTGTATTTGAGGATCTTGGTGTTCTCCTTGTGCATGCTGAAGACTACTGATGCAGAGGCTGCTGCTACACTAGCTGTCTTTATCTGTATTTGTTCGTGTGGATGCGATAGGATGACCGGGTCATCTGCGAAGTCCAAATCGTCTAATTGGTTTTAAGCTGTCCATTGTATGCCAAGTTTTCCCATACATGTCGAGCTACTGAGACTGCTTAGCAGGATCTTATTCATCTCACAGCTTGGACTGTGATAGACCAAACCAATCAGAAGCTATTGTCCCTGAGTTCGAGTCCCATGTGTGGAATCATAGATGTGCACTGTTCAAAAGTCCTATGCTAGAACAAAACAACCGTCTAGTACTTCCAGGTTTTTGTATATTAGTCTAGCCTAAATCAACTCATGAATTGAACTATTAAAAATTACTACAATCTCTACAAATCCCCATTCATTATTCTTCAAACCAGATGGATAAATATAAAAAGAGAACAATTCAAAAACAAAACATTTTCACTTACTTGTTTTGTTTTGTCTGTTTTTTTTTCAACAAAAGAAAAACAAAAATAAAAGAAAGCTGAAAACACATCAACACACCCATCCATACACACACACACACAAGTACAATCAAATTGATTTCATCATTATGTAATATATATAAATGATAAACATGAAAAACAAACAGCTCAATATTAAAAGAGGAAGAATGTTGTATTTGTGAAAATCTCATTGAAAGAATTTAAAGTAAATCCAACGTTCCATCTAACAATCTGATCTAGACTCATTATTAAGTAGTAAATATCTAAGTTACCAAAAATAAAATAAATAAATTCATTGATCAATTATAAAATAAAAGAATATTGATTAAGAGTAATAAAGTTTTCTTTTTATTCTGTCTTTTTTTGTTTTTTTTCTCTCGTTTTTTTCTTCCTTATTAAAAGAAAAAGGGAAATCGTTACGATGTGTATTATTCAATCCAACGAATTTACATTAATCTATTGATATAATTTACAATAATCGAATAAAATAAAAAAAAAGAGAGAAAAATTTCAAAAATAAAAAGAAGTTTATTCTATAATCTGTGAGAGTAGTTTTTTCTTTTCTTTTCTTTCTTTTTTTCTTTTCTTTTTGCTTTGTGGGTGCAAATGTTTCTTTTTGTTGTTGTTGTTGTTGTTGTTTTAGTGAATTTAACAAATGAAATAAAAAATAATTCAGCTTATCCAAAGAAAAAAAGAAATATGAAATGGAATGTTTTCAAGTATTTAGGCAATAAATACAAATGCATTACATAAGAGATGAAACTGGAAAAGACTTTACTCATGTATACTTTAACATGTTATATAGATGATATAGATTTATCTAATTATTTATTTATTATTTAACGTAAACAATGTGGTGGTCCAAATATTTGATAAAGCATAAAAAATGCTAATTCATGACTACTCCAATAACTATTATGGGCACCTAATATAGCAAGTGGTGAAAATGATTTTTGCCATTCATAATCAATACGACGTCGAAGTTGTTTTTCATTTGTTGTTGGCATTGAACGCATTTGACATAATACTGGATTTAAATTAGTTACATTAGATGATCGTCTAGTTATATAATTACTAAATATTTTCACTAAATAAAGAGAAAAAAGAAAAAAAAGAATATTGTAGACTTTACTTTATTACGTAATTTCTAAGAAAAAGAAAGGAATAAATTGAAAGTTTAAGCAATGATAAATAATGGCTAGTAGTGGAATACAGTTTGACGCGCGTTTACTCCTATTTTTGAGACTCATCAACTGGTTGTATGTGCATCTCAAAGTTGGTGTTTATTAGGAGACTTGAACTCGGTACCGTTCGCTTCAAACGACATCACATAGTTAATTCACCCTATTGTACAAGCAGGTGGTTATAAGAACTCAATAGCTAAGTGAATAATGTGATGGCGTTTGAAATGAACGGTACTGGGTTCAAATCCCAGAGCAAACATCAACTCTGAGATGCATGTACATCTAGTTGACGAGTCACAAATGGGATGAAACATGTATTCTGAATTCCATTGCTAACACAATTCTACACCTTTTGAAAGTGATCCATAATTTTTATTCGGTCGACTATTTATTTTCACAAAAACAATCACTATCCATTCAATATCAAAACTTTATTATTAACACTACTACGTAATAGTTGAATTCATGAGTTAGTTGAAGCTATACCACCATGAAAAACCTGTTAATACTGAACGGCCGTTTTGTCCTAGTATGAAACCTCTCAGCATTGCGTATCCACTATCCCACCTTGTGAGATTCGAACCCAAAGTTTATCAATCTTGCACGTGAGCGCTTAACCACTAGACCACTGAGTCAGTCAGCATCCAACAGTATTAATGTCTAACTTCAACTAATCCACTATTAACTTATTCTTATTTATAAATCATATATAAATTAATGAAAATTAAAGTATTTGTAAACTTTTATAACGTAAAAGTACTATAGTTTCCAGCTAGTTTACTTTCTAACTATATTGATTGATGATGTGATCATTAGAACACATGACAATTGTAATAGTTGTGATGTATTTTTTATTGTCTATAAACAACTACGAATCTCTTTTATATCGATAATTATAATTGATTTACGAATAATGCCCCTACCCTCCTAAAAATAGATATCAACTAAGGAACAGAAAAAAAATGGACAATTATTCTGTTCTTGAGTAAATAACTACACCATTCAATATGTAATGAAAGTTAGAATTTTAAGAATAAACAGTAAAAAGAAACTGATAGGTTCTGGGTTCGAATCTTGTGAGGGGGGATAGTGGATACGCACTGCTGAAAAGTATAATACTAGGACGAAATAGCCATCCAGTGTTTTCAGGTTTTCTGTGATGATCTAACTATAATTAACTCATGAATTTAACTACTATAAACAATACAATTAACTTATTAAGTCCTAATTGTATAATGTATATAAAAGAACGTTAATCAATTTGTAATCCAATGAGATAATCATCAACTGTCATTAATATGTAACCTCTTTAATTGTTACATTACAAATGTTATAGTTCAAGAGTGATTATTTAACTTCTAACAAATCACCTTCAAAGAATAATGATTAAATTGATGATAGAATTTGTTTGAAATCATGAGTCGATTGAAGCTAAACCACCACAGAAAACCTGGAAACAATGGACGACCATTTCGTCCTAGGATGGGACTCCTCAGGACGAAACGGCCGTCCAGTGCTTCCTGGTTTTCCATGATGGTCTAGCTTCAACTGACTCATGATTTCAATCAGTAAAATTTCTAAAATCTCCACAAAACCCCTTTCTGATAAAATTTATATTTCAGTTATACGAATTCTTCACGAAACTACAAATCAGAGACATGAACGTATTAAATTTCCGGATTGTTAAAGATTAAAAAAATTCCAAATAAAGGGATATTCTTTTTTATTGTTTGTTCATTTGACATTAGTTTGCATAGATAATCATCTATGAACCTTACAGAAATTTTATAATCTATCTCAACAGTCCAGTGAAGATTAATTTATTGGTTTGTATGTGATGTCCATCATAGATTGACTTCATTTGGAGTAAGATTTAACAACCAGAAAGTACTTAATAATTGGTTTGTTCTAATAAGGAACTAATTAGAAATGAGTATAAGTGATCACAACAAGAACTGAGCTTAAGACCTTCAATTTTCAAAGTGAACACTTCAATTGATTCTTTGAAGTTATTATTAGTGTAGTTCAGCTACACCTGAAGTGAATTAACGTCGAACCATTTTAAGAATTAATTCAAGTAAAAAAAAATGGATCTTTACGAAATCTGAAGGTACTACATTAACTCCCTGACAAAGCTATAGATACCTTTATCTGAAGATTCCAATAATAAATGGAGACAACTATTTAGTAATTTCTGGATTTGGCAAAAAGAAACATTCTATAATCATAAGAAGATAAAACAGAATGACAACTCAATTGTTGAACATATTTCTTACTTGCTAAAGATTGATGTTGTTTATAAACGGAATTTTCATCCACAACACTTAAACGTTTGAAAAACTTAAGATAGAATAGAATAAAACAAAATAAATACAATAACAGTTATATTATGAATCAAATAAAACATTCATCTAAGCAACAAAAGAAAGATAAATACGGGAATATGATTAAATAATTGTAGTGTTGATTATTATGTTAAGCCCATACATACCCTATTCATTCTAGTTGAGTTACATTTTGACCTTGTTAATTATTCACTAATCAATCTTTACTGTTCTTATATGAGCGCACATCTGTGTGTGCCCTTCTTATCTTCTTCATCACATACCTGTAGCTTATTTTTGTGTGACTATAAGTATTGATTAACGCTTGACTAAATGGAGTTGGCTTATCCGCCATCTCCACTGTGCATTGCTTTGCTTCGCTTCTTCGACATTTTGTGTGATTCAAAAATTGTATGAAACATACATATTCAAAATCCATTCACGTATTTGACTTATTTAATTCCCTTATTGACTAACGCGATTTAAGTCGGTGATTATATACGAGGATAGGCGACACATATATATTTCAGTAACAATCAATTGGAATCAGATCTCGGGCTACCAAATAATAAGAAAATTATTATTATTATTTTATTAATGGAATTATTAAAGTCATATTGAGCGGTAGTTAATTACTAAGGTAAATCAGATATATAATGAATAAGAACTATTATATCATATAAAGTTTAAATTTAAAGAGTACAAATCAACGACTGTTAATATGACCATTCGAAAAGATAATGTTCTGTTATTAACACTCGAATCAAGTGTAATTCATAAGATTAAGATCCAGTTTATATGGTTTATTTTGACCTAATGCATTATATATGATAAGTATGATATTACACTAGATGATCTAAATTGGTGTACGTGTAGGGAGATTTGAATCGGTAACTTAATTTGGTTGAAATTCAATTGAATTAATCATTGAACCAATAGTATATAAACCTTTCAATGAATTTTGTCCGATAACCAAGTATAATTTAAAATTTGGTCATTGATTGATGACCGATTTCATGTTCGTCTAGTTCTCTAGATTTGGTCGAGTTCTATCTGTTGACTTGTAAGATGGCTACTCTTTTCAATGAGAGTTCCAGTCCAAAAGTCTAGATCGTCCAGCTGCATTCTAGCTATCCACTGTATCCCATACTTCCCCTCAGATGTTGACGTCTTCATGATGCAGTCGATCATTAGGAGAAAGAGAAAGGGTGAGAGTAAGCAACCTTGCCCGACACCGGTATTTACCTCAAACGAGTCTGTCATCTGTCCTTCATGAACGATTTTTCAGTTTAATCGATCATAGGAATTCCGGATGATATTGGTTATCTTCTCAGATACGCCGTAGTGTCGAAGAAGCTTTCATAGTGTTGTCCTGCCTATGCTGTGAAATACTTTTTTGTAATCAATGAAGTTGATGTAGAGTGATGTATTTCATTCAATTGATTGTTCCACAATGATCCATAGTGTTGCGATTCGGTCTGTACACGATCGATCCTTACGGAATCCAGCCTGTCGGCCTCAAAGTTGGGTGTCTACGGAGTCCTTCATTCTGTTTAAAAATACCTTGTTGAAAACGTTTCCTTGTATTGAGAGAATCCTGAGTTTACTAAATGTTATTAATACCAATGGAGGAAAATTGTAATCTCTGAATAAGCAAATTGTTTCTCAAACAATTATACAACTATACATTTTGAATATTAACAGAAACCATTTTTAAGTTTCTGATTATTGATTGATATGTCACAACGGACTACTCTCGTTACATGTGTTGGGATATTCAGGAAAATATCCCAGAAATTATCCATGTGAGAGAACCCCTATATTATTTCTTTCCATTCTCCAGATGTCAATTAATCAAGGAGAGAAAAAATGATGTAAAACGGTAAGGTAGTTAAATAGCATGACTTATAAACACTGTAAATGATATCTTGAACAACGAAACATGATAGAACATATGTACTGTCATACATAAGAAGTAGTTCATAGGGTTCATATATCGAAACCTTTGTAAAAATAAAGTCTTCATGGTCCCAGCTCGCGTATTCACATATATAAACAATCACAAAACCTATTGAAACATTACATGAAATAAACAGTTTTCATTTTCTTTTACAAACATAATGTACATACTTTTCTTTTTTGTTCTTTATGATCAGAACCATTACTACCACTAGCACCATTTAATGATAGATCAGATGAATCACTATCTGAATCAGATAAATCCAATGTATGCATTGAATGTGTTGATTCAATATCATCAATTGCTGTTAATGATGTATTAGAACCTTTTAATGTTGGTGTTTGACTATCTGATTGATTTGATTTATTGTTATTATTATTATTATTATTATTAATAAAAGAAATATCTTTAATTGATAAACATTTTTCTAAATGACTAATTGATGCTTTCGGTATAACAACAGGACTGATATTCGCATAATGTTTCAATAATAATGGTTCTAAACGATATGCCTTGAAATAAATGAAGAGAAAGAAAGAAAAAAAAACATGGAAAAATTTAACAATGTCAACTGTCCGATTTTATTTGTGAAATGAGTTAATATACTACTTATTAGATATCTGATTATATATCATTGGATAATGAATATTAGTTGAATCTATGACTAAGGTTAACTGGATGTGTTTACATTTTTGTTGGGGTGATCCAGAAAATTTCTCACAAAAGACAAGCAAGGATCAGGAAACACTAAGAAGCTTTTCACCGAATCAGCGTTCACTTTTTAGTTTTAGCCAGAAATATCAAGGAAGTGAAACGTCACATGTAGAAGTTCTGGTTGGCATTCCAGAATCTTCAAGCAACCCAAGGACATTGAAAAATATTATAAAAACCCTATATTTTCTGTATTGAAATGAACATTTGGAGTAAAGTACTTCTCATATACTTCGCGTCTTTTCTCTCGTGTTCAGGTCGCTGTATAGTTCTAGCTTGGGGGGGGAGGTCTACAGAAGAGTTTAGGAAACGAATATAGCGTTCAATTTGCCAGACTTATCAATTTTAATGTTAATGTCTCCATAGAGACTTAGATCTAATACCTAACATTACAAATGTCATGGTGTTGTGAATATTATTACTTAGAAAAGCTTAATACATAGAAATGTATTCGACTAATCTCTGATATTATTTGAGTTACTTGAGTGAACGATTTAATATTTTGGATAAATGTTAACAGTAGATACAAATCATTGTCTACTTATTAAACATTATAACATTTTCTTTATGAAAGATAATTTTGATAGATTTCATATTATCTAAACTATATGGTTTAGTTGAAAGCTTCTCTGTTTATATACATCACACTTGATTATCAGAGAAGTGCTTTATTCAGTTAGAAATAAATTCAACTATTAAAAATTACTACAATCTCCACAAACCCTCATTCTAATCATAATCATCATATGCTCACTAGGCACTGGATTCAAGATGGATTTCCTGGAATTCTAGTGAGAAGCTGTGACCAGTGGAGTCCAATCGGTGTTGGGTAGAGAATGGTATCCACTTTAGACAATGAATAAAGAGTTGCACAAGTTCATGGATCAATTGAAGTTAGACTAGACTACTGGTACAAAACGACCGTATGGTGCTCCCAGGGTTTTGCAAGTCAATCTAGCTTAAATTGACTGATAAATTCACCTATTGAAGTTACTATAATCTTCACAACCCCCATCCTTATTTAGACTTTGGATTCATCAATTTTCCATGTTACATCATTTGATCTGTATTGAAATGCAATCAATTAACTATATGAGTTTAAATTCGATGTTTAATTTAAAAGTTATTTTGCACATTATGAAATAATCAGTTTTTACTGATCTTAGTTTCTAAATAAATCATCTATTGATTAAGTTTTACAGTTAGTGATTCATGTAAGATAGACGACAAACGAAGTTTTGTTTCTATGTTCCAATTAAAATGTAAATAAATCAATTAAAGGATGGAATATATATATATATATATATATATATATATATATATATATATATATATATTCTGTTTATTGTTTAAGTAATTGGTCGATAGGAAACCCTGGACCCGGGTTTCGTGCTACTTGGCACTCGTCAGCAAGGTATGCCTGTAATCTTGAGGGAACTGGTGCGCCCTGGCAGTTTTGACACACCTGACATTGATCACTACCCAGTGATCAGTCAATTTTGAATTGATTGATGGATATATTTCCATTTTTCTATTTCATATCTTAGCTCTATGGAATAGATCATTCAAAAGTGAGATATTTGTTATATCCCTCCGAGAATTATGAATGATAACTTTAGGGATCTATTTCTGGAATAATAATATTCTGTATTCTTTTATTGTATAGTTGTTAAGTAATTAAACTATTCATATTCATGTCCCTCATTATCATGAGCTTTATTTTGACCTATGAACTAATATTATACGATTTAACATTCTTGAGTGATGCCCAGTATATCAATTACTATGTCCCTTATTCATAGCCACATTTGGCTAAATCTTGTACAAATGTTATTTTCTATTTTATGGTACGATAAGGTCTGTCAGGTTGGTATATAAACCCAGTATATTTGAAATATAATGATTCATATTGCAGAGGCTGAGATTGGTGTCCTGGGCTTAACAGGCAGTGTTAAGCAGGAAGCATGACCGATAAGGACTATAGACTGCTCCTATGGGTTTTGTGTGTCATTGGTCTGGTCGATAAGTCACTGTTCTCTAATTGGCAGTATCATTACGTAATATATATATTTTCATAGGGACACATATTTCATGTACATGACTTACAATAGTCTTTTGCTTATATATTATTTTTAATAATACAGTCCTCAGTACATTATTGGTAAGTATCTTATATACAACATCTTATGGAACAATTTGAATACATTTAGCATTAAATAAATCATACTTATAAAAAGGAATCAGTATACAGATATAAGTGGATGATTGTTTATAAATGTAATAGTCTGTGATCGTTGTGTAAGGTTGATCTAGATAATTGACATGACGATTTATTTGTTCAGTCGGATTCTTCGTTTCTTTTTTGCTAAAGGAGTGTAGCTTAAATAGAAAGATTGAGGTTAGTGTCATAACATGAAATTGGATGATCCAATTTTGAATCCCCCAATGAGCATCAGTTCTCTTAAGTGTAGGTACGTGTTCGATTTTTGCCAACTAGTACGAAATCCATGTTCAAGATTTTTTCTAGATTACCTACACCTACCCTATACATAATGAAGTTCCTGGATGAGATACGATTTACCGAAGATAATTATAATATTTATGGCCTAGGATAGAATCAATGGCAATTAATCAGATTTAATTCAATATTTAGTGTGGGATTTATTATTACTTAACAAGTATATACAGAGTTGTGTTAATTCAGTCGTTTAGATTTCCTTTGGGGATTATATCCAGACGTTAATATATAATATTTTACGTAAGTTCTTAACTTCAAATATTTTTATCTATATACAAAAGAAGTTTACTTCAATCGAAAGTGGGAGTGAAATACAGGATTAAAGCTTTGTTTTACATCCTACTTATTAAACAAATGTTAACCATGAAGCTCAAACCAAGTACTTGTTGCTTTAAACCCCAAAGCATTTTCCCTAATCTACTGAGATAAACGTAATATGGAAAATAAAAAAAAACGGAGAATGTGATCTGCTTTACAAAATAGCCATAGTTCATTGTTTATCTTCTAATAGTACGAAGATGGTCATGTGATTCTATAATACTTCTCAATGCTAATTTGACTTTGAGCGGAGAATGAAGAATGACTTTGTAACTAGTTTCATTAGAAATATTATTGTTCGATGTATATCAGACAACAAATGTCTAGATCCCTCTAACAGTATAACCTATGGACAACATATTCTCTCTCCAGCGTTACCTGGTTTCGATAGAGTTACGTTCTGTGAGGTAAATGGATTAATCATGAAGTTTCTATTTCACTTCTATACTAAATTAACACAAACTTTGGTTGGAAGTGAACTATTGAAATTTACCAACATATGATTAACTAATTATTTTAAAGACCTTGCATATTAATAGTTGTTGCTGATACTTGTCATGTTAATGTCTGAACATCCATTTCGGCAGTTTTCTTTTTTGATCTGATTTATGACCTAATATTTGTCAATCAATCAATGTCGATATTTTTATGAATAGCTGATTGATCTAAGTTTCAACCTTTAAAATTTCCCTGGTCTTTTATGTATGTCATCTTCCCATAATCTCAACATTTTCTCAGTCGAACGTGTATATGTATGTATTTATATAGGGGAAGATCCATTTTGGCGTTTGATAGATAATCAATTGTCATGATGATAAAGTTGTAGAGTTTAGAAAATAAAAGCATCATGATTAAATCACCTAGCTTACAGACACGCAATTCTATCCTTTTGCATTACAAATCTTTGAGTGATTTACTACTTGTAGCGTGATTATTAATGAGTTTTTATTGAATTATTTATTCTAAAAACACTGTCAGTATTGAAAAGTTTCACAGTATTTGAGCACTGAGTTAATGTGAGACATTAAAGAGGAAGAATGTTGTATTTGTGAAAATCTCAGCGAAAGAATTTGTAGTAAATCCAACGTTTCGCCTGGTAATCTGGTTCAAGCTTTTTCAAGGAAATGTATCATTATCAGTTTAGCGTTTGTGGAGATTGTTAAGTTTTTTGATTGAGATCATGAACCGATTAATTTTAGACCACCTTTGGAAACCTGAAAGCACTGGAAGGCCGTTTCGTCCTATTGTGGGACTCCTCAGTAGTGCGCATCCACGATCCCGCTCGCGGGATTCGGATCCAGGGCCATCCGGTGCTTCCAGCTTTTCGATGGTAGTCTAAAATCAATCGGTTCATGATCTCAATCAAGAATGTATATATCTTTATTTTAAATAAGATCGAATAGTATCACGGTATTTAATCACCGAGTTGATATGATTTCCTTGGAAAAGCTAGAACCACATTACCAGGCAAAACGTTGAATTTACTTCAAATTCTTTCGTTAAGATTTTCATAGATACAACCTTCTTCTTCTTCTTCTTTACTGTTAGTATGGGTTTTAAGTCTTGATGAAATAATATAAGTGATTTCAACTTTATTTGTTCTAGTCACTTTAACTGAGAAGTATTTCATTTTCATTTCACATAATATACATCATTAGAAATTGGAAACCTTTGTAGCCTCACTTTCAACCTAATTACAATGATAGACAGCTGATCAAACTAATGTATTCTTACTCTCAATGTTAAGATGAAATGCATGTGGATATCATACAATCATATATATATAATTCCTTTTATAATATGTAGTAATTAATTTTTTAGCACAGTTACTTAATACATTCATGATGCCAGTTATTACTACCAATATAGTCAACAACAACAACGACAAAAAACACTTGCAATTGTAAATCAATTCAATGTGGTGACAGTTTACAGCAATACATACAGACACACACACACACATAC